GCCACCATGTCCAGCCTTCAGTGCACTTTTATTACAGTCACCATTGTGTATATTAAGTATTCCTCCTGTCTAGCAAAAACTTTGCACCCTTTGATCAGTATCTCTACCCTTTCAGCATCTACTCCCCTCTCCCAGCCTCTGGTAAACACAAGTCTACTGTGTACTTCCACTAAGTTCTACTTTTTCAGATGTCCCATATAGTGAGATCCTATGGTATTTGTCTTTCTATGCCTGACTCATTTCACTTAGCATAATGTCCTCCAGGTTCATCCATGTGTTACAAATGAAAGAATTTTCTTCTTTTTTAAGATTGAATAGTTTTCCATTGTGTAATACACACATTTTCTTTATCCAGAGAATATGCATTTAATGAAAATGTTTTAAAGTCAAATTCTTGAAAGTATTATATTAAGAAAAAGAATACAGTAATACATCAGTGGCAAATACTTACAATTTGCTAACAGAGGTGTGGTAGAGACCTCATTTCCTCTGTGTTTGTTGGTTAAAGTAGTTGACTGTTTGATGGGTGAGAAATGCTTTGTTGTAGAGGGAGTGTAGACATGCCTTACTTGAATTCCCGGAGAAGGAGATGTATGGATATTGCATTCGGCTAAATAAAAAACAAATTTAAACACATTAAAAGCATTTCAATTAGAGTTCTATGTCAATGTCTACATTTAAAAAGAAATACATGAGATATAATAGCTTCAATTAAACTATTTATCAAGTGATACTAAATTGTTTTTGTCATAAAAGTTCACACTTCCTTGTTTGCATAGTGGTGAGTTTTAAAAAGTCTATACTACCATAGAAAAAGTTCTAGAATAAAAATATATTATTCTTGAGTGATGTTTTCCTAAGAGAATAGTTTTATTATTCAGGGTATCAAGTAAATCTAGAGCATGATGACAGACTTCACTGCATTAAAGCATAGAAAGTGAATACACATCAAATATTTATGGAATAGGAATATTCAGGAATGAATATTAAGCTAATTCATTTCCTAAAGGAACAAGAATTTTTTCCCTATGATTTTATTTTTATTTTTTGAGATGGAGTCTCACTCTGTGGCTCAGGCTGGAGTGTAGTGGCACAATCTCAGCTCACTGCAACTACCACCTCTCAGGTTCAGGCAATTCTTGTGCCTCAGCCTCCCTCCCAAGCAGCTGGGACTATAGGCATGCGCCACCATGCCCAGCTAGTTTTTCTATTTTTAGTAGAGACAAGGTTTCACCATATTGGTCAGGCTGGTCTTGAACTCCTGACCTCAAGTGATCTGCTTGCCTTGGCTTCCTAAAGTGCTGGGATTATAGACATGAGCCACTGTGCCCGGCCCTACAATTTTAAAAGGAATAATAGGGAACTTCATTAGAGAATCTGTAAATAAACAAATATTAAACAAGAAGTGTTTTTAAAAAAATCAACATGCACTTTCTTTAAGTTAGATATTATATAATCTAAAATTATTTTAATTTTGGTTTCTGTGAGATTCCAAAATCATATTAAAAAATGACTTCTAAACTGTCTTCCCAAACTCAAAATCTCATGATTGGGGAAAAAAACCAAATACACAAAAACAAAAACAAATGCAGATATTTATACCATAACTTTCAACCTTTAAATAGGACAGAAGCCACTTCCAGGTCAGAGTTAACCTGATCTTGAATATTTTTACTGTCTTCCTCATTTAAGGACTTCACAAATCGAGAACACACATTCATATCAAATCGGTTAGGCAATATGAATTTCATTCCCATGGCAACACCCTGAGCCGATCCTTCTTCTGAATTTGGGTCCAGTGGATGTTCTATTTTAATGTCTGGCATGCCAGTTAGGCTGTAAGTGCTGGGACACTCTTCCACTATAAGCTGGGCTCCAATATCCAGATTTGCTGATGTAGCCATGATTTCAATTGTGTAGATTCAATAATTAAAACATTTCTTCATGATTTCCTCTTGGTTTTATCAGAGCAGTATCCAGTGTTGGATATTCAAATTGGAATTTGAATATTTAAAAATCTGAAAGAAAAAAATTAGAAAAATAAAAGTATTCCTATCAACTTAGGTAAAAATCCACAAAATAATCATTTTCAATCAAGCATCGAAACAATGCTCTTGTAAGCACCTATACATAATAGGAAGCATATAATGTTCAGAGGTAGAGAAACCTGGGTATGAATCTAAGCTTTGCCATTAATTAGCTGTGTGACCTGTACAAGTTACTCAACCCCTCTGAGCTTCAGTGTCATTTATAAAATAGGGATACCACCATTAACCTTACAGGGTTCTGGTAAAAACCAAATGAAATACTGTACAGTGACATTCTCACTTTCGTCATTAAATTCCAATAAATTTTAGTTACTGTTCCTCCCATTTCCTATACCTGAATATTGCCAAATGGATAAAAGATCAGGCTAACAATGAAAATAAACTTTAACCTCTTACCTAGGGTTAGTTCTTTAATGTTTACATAGGTAGCCCTTAGTTTGAATTTAAGAAATGATATAATTCATGTTGTACCCAAGTTTATTGGCATTGTTACCTATAACACCTGCGATTCCTAGACCGTGAAAAGACAAAGCTTTGGTTTTGATGAACTGAAGGTACATTTATTAATTTTTGTTCAGATTAAGCATTAGCAACTTAATGTAAGTTTTCATGAAAAATAAAGTAGGTAGATTGGCATTCCAAGATGTATATAATTGTCTCAAATATATTACCATTTGGGACAGGAAGAAAATTAATAAAATACAGTTAATTTTTTCCACGTTAGAGTTTATAGCCTCTTAGAAATTTTGAGAGGGTGCAGGGTGTTTTAAAATTGGAATTGGATTTAAAAGAAAAATGCATCAGGAACACAGTGGAGCAAGGGTCGCCAAATCATACATTTACAGATAACAGCTTTTTACAATTTTAAAAACATTTTCAAAAATTAATCCTTAATCATTTGAGTAGGCAGGTCAGGTAATCATATGTCCACCTTAGAGAGGAGAAACAGGAAGCTCATGAATTATGAGGGCTCACCCAGCTCTTCTGACTCCATCACTCTGACCATTAAAATGAGGCAGCACTAAACAAAGCCAAAACCTCCACCAGAGAGAACTGATAGTAACATAACCTGTAATTCCAGCACTTTGGGAGGTCGAGGCAGGCGGATCACGAGGTCAAGAGATCGAAACCATCCTGGCCAACATGGTGAAACCCTATCTCTACTAAAAATACTAAAATTAGCTGGATGTGGTGGCATGCTCCTGTAGTCCCAGCTATTCGGGAGGCTGAGGCAGGAGAATTGCTTGAACCTGGGAGGCGGAGGTTGCAGTGAGCCGAGATCGCGCCACTGCACTCCAGCCTGGTGCCTGGCGACAGAGCAAGACTCTGTCTCAAAAAAAAAAAACCAAAAACCAAAAAACAAAACAAAAAAAACAACATAGTAAGAAAAACATTTGAGCAAAAAGGAAACCAGAAAAAAAAAAATTCGTTCAGTGATTCAAATGGAGATGGATATGCAATGCATTAGTCCATGCGTCTTAAAAGAACTGGACAATATGAACCGTGTTTCCTAGGGAAGAACCATCTCCCCCTTTCTCCTATCAAGGTTAGCTAAGTGCAACTCCCCTAAGCTCTCTGAGCACCCTGCATATAGCTCTATTTTAGCATTTACCACTCTCTTGAAAATTTCCATGTAAACATCATCTAAATTGAAAACTCCCCTAGGATGGGGACCATTCTTACTAATCTTTGCACACAGAACAGTACTTGGTCTTACCAGGTACTCCATAAATGTTTTCTGATCTGAACTTTAACAATTTTTTTTCTATAATATTTTCTATTTCTAACATTTGCTGATTGGACCTGGCTTTTCTCTCTCAACACTGCTATTAACTAGCTGGAGAATTCTGGACAAATAAATCATACAAGTTTTCTGAAATTCATCTATTATAAAAAGGTGTTGAAATAGGTCTAATATTCTTTCCAGCGCTAAACAACTTCCATGTTACAAATCAGGGTTTACAGATGGAATTACAGGTCTTGGAGAGGAGAACAGCAAATGTGCTTAGCTGGAGGGGGTGGGTGGAAAAAGAACGCTTATCTTGGCACACCAGTCTAGAGATGAGAAGCAAAGTTGGCAAGCCAACATTTTGAAGAACAGGAGAGGAAGGCGGGGGGTGAGGGCTAAACATGACTTAGAAGAGGAGAGGAGGTGGCGAGAAAAAGGGGGTAAGGCAATCAATAGCTAGGTTCACCTCGATCTGTCAGAGCCCAGGGATGAAGGGATAGAGAATTTAAAGAGACAAAGTGGGCAATTATGCTAGTTCCCGTGGATGCTAGTAACAGAGCCCCTCGTTTTTTCCTGATCCTGGAATTATCCTACAAGGTGAGGAAGGTGCTATGAAAATAAATGATGCCTCACAGGCGACAGGTGTTCCAGTGTCCCGAGAAAGGAGCCCGCTGGAGGGGAGACTCTGGTAGGAAAGGAAGTCCGTTCTGTCGCCAATGACCAACTGTGCCCGAAAAGTCCCAGGAAGAAACTCTCGCTCATCCGCGGCGAGCGGATCTCGGGGACAGAGGCTGGAGGCCGACCCGGTGAGAGTGCAGGGTCTTGCGACCACCGACGACAGCAGAAAACGAGTAGAGTCTTCCCATTTGCCGCCAACTTCTGTACAGGCCTCCAAGCCCGGGCTTGTTTTGGCCGCGACGTCACTTCCGATTTCTTCTTTCGCCTTCTGGCTAAAAAACGTTCTGCAGCGATGCAGCTGAGACTTTAACTTTTTTTTCTTTGTCTGTCTGTCTCTCTCTCTCTCTCTCTCTCTCTTTTGATGCTGTTACGCTCCAAGGCCCATGTTGCCGGAATACTACACATACAGGGTCATTTGAGTTGATGGTTCTGGGTTACCACAGCACAGGAAGCCCCAGTCTCCCCCTCCTGTCTCGCCTCCTATGCCTGATCACCCTGCCCACCTGATCGCCTTTGCGCCGCCGGGCTGCGTAAGTCTCCGGAGCTTGCGCTGCTACGTCATCTTTACGCGACGTTCGGTTCGGTGTGTGTGTCGCCGGCTTCTCGAGGGTCCATGTGATTTTCACGCCAGTGCTGCTGAACGGTCCAGGAGAGGGAGCTGGCCGAGTCCCATTAATTGTCCTTGAGTCCAGGTGTCTCGTCGGGCCCTCTGGGGCTCAGTGGTGGTAGGTGAAGGCGGCTCTCACTGAAGGAAGCCCAGACTCACACTTGGCCTTCCTATGTTATCTGGCATGCTTTTCTGGGGCTTCCCAGGCTCTGTAGGAGAATGGCTAAATTCTTTAAATGGTTCAGGTTCCCCTCAATTAAGCTTCGACTTAGAGTCTCCTCTGCGATTACACCCTCTCCTGTCCACTGTTGTTAGTTACCGGAGTAATCAGCAACTCTCCAAGGCAATGGACATATTTCAGTCTGTGTTTGCTTACGAGGTTCCCTCAGGTGCAGTGAACGTAATGGAGTTTTAAAAGATTTGGGAGATAAAACCAGCATATCTTGTTAACTGTTTGGATGTTAGGAGTGAGGAAGACGGACCCGTCAAGGCTGAATCTAGATTAATATCTGGTGCCAGTCACCAGCCAAAATGGACTATATTGGAGTATGCGAGGGCACAGGCCATGTCTTTATTTCATTCACTATTATATCTCCAGTCCCTAGAACAGTGTGTCCTGCACATTGGCAGGTACTTTAATGAACAGAAGACTGTCCCCCCTTTAATCATTGGTCATTGTATTTCATTAAAGCACCTTTTAAATATATGTTACACTTACCGTGGTGTTACTGATGTAAAGTTTTTAAGCTTTTTGTAATAGATGATGAGTAGCATCACTGGAATCATTTACCTGATAACATTGAATCTCTTTTGCAATTGAATCGTTCTGGAAAGATGTTTTGGCTTGATTGTCTGTTATTTAAAAGTTTTATTATGCCACTTTAATGTTGAATTTAATTTCAGGATTGCTTTATTACAGTTTTCTTTCCTACTGTTCAAACCCTTTAAAGTAAGATTAATTTTAAGCTTCTACATTAGAATATTAGCTTTGTTTTTCTTACTTCTTGGCATTTTTAGGCTTTCAGGAAATGAAGTCCGTAACTGTAATTCTCATAAATTAAATGTCATCTTAATTGGTTTCAGGAAACTTGTATTTGCAGTTTCACCTTAATATTTTCTGTTGCCAGAAAATGGGCACTCAAAGCCAGCATAATCCTTTTTGGTTTGGCTACTGGAAGACTGTGCTAGATTTATTCCCAAGGGTTGTAAAATGGTTGGCTAGATGTGAGAACCTTTGTGTACAGCTAAATAGATAGTGTGATATGATAACCCTTACTTTAATTATTCCTGCTTCCTATAGATTACTTTTTCTGGGTTAGAATTAAATGGTTTATTGGTCTGTAATCTATAACTTCCACACAGACTTTTGAAAGAAAGCAGAGTGAAAATCAAATATATGTACAAATTTATAAATAATATGTATATAAAATATTTTCTTTTTCAGACTTAAGGCAGTCACTGTAATTATTTCTAATATCAATTCTAAAATATTGACCCTTAGACAACAGTGTAATTTTTTTTTATATTTCTTTTTTTTTTTCAGTCAACTTTCTCAGGTTGAATCATGATCTTTAATTTTTTTTTACTTGTTTCAGTGAAGGAGGCAACAGTCAATTATATGGAATTATGGCTGGGTATAAGCCTGTAGCTATTCAGACATATCCTATACTTGGTGAAAAAATTACCCAAGATACACTGTACTGGAACAACTATAAGGTGAGAATGGGAGATAAATGAGGGAGGAGGGATTTGTGTTTATGCCAATTTCTCTAGCATATGTTATACTCTGGATGCTCTAATAGAGAATTAACTAAAAACAATCTATTCGCAGCTTTTAGTTTGGGCAGATAGTTTGATATGTATATTTTTTCTTGGAATTTTATATACAAGTCTGTACTGCTTAATCAGATTGACCATACAGATGTTTAGCACAGGATAGACGATCAGTCAGTGCCAAATGAATTAAATTTTAAAATTGGAATCTCATATGTGTAAAGATGTTTATTGAAGTATTGCTTGTAATAGTAGAAATCTGGAAAAACCTATGTCTATTAGTAGTGGACATAATTTACTATATAATGTGGCCTTATAACGGATGATAAGTCTATTGCTCCTATGAAAAGTTAGCTAATATGTGTTACTAAGTGAAAAGAAGATGTGGAACAGTCTGCATAGTAGGATTATCTTTGTGTCATTTAAAAAGTAGGTGGTTATTGTATGCTGGTATAGACATAGTAACTTTTTTTTTTCTGGTGAAAATCACAGTAAACTCAATAGCCGAAGTAACAGAGTAGGGTGTGGCTTTCTAACCATATGTTTATTACAGTGGCTACGAGGATAGTCTGGGTGATGATATGGACCTTTTTTGCTTTCTTTGTAATTTTATGTTAAATACAACCTAATAAATGTTACTAAGAACAAAAAGAAATGATCTGTAAGAAATTATGTAATACTTAAATAGGTCTTACCAGTGGTAACTCTGTTAACACTCTACTATTTTTTATTAAGACCCCTGTTCAGATTAAGGAATTTGGTGCAGTTTCAAAAGTAGACTTTTCTCCTCAGCCTCCATATAATTATGCTGTCACAGCTTCCTCAAGAGTAAGTATCGTATTTCTTTATTTTTCTTTTGTATAGTTTACTACTGATCTTGAACATCCGGTGAAATACTGTTTTTCATCTTATAGATTCACATTTATGGCCGTTACTCCCAGGAACCTATAAAAACCTTTTCTCGATTTAAAGACACAGCATACTGTGCTACTTTTCGACAAGATGGTAGATTGCTTGTGGCTGGCAGTGAAGACGGTGGAGTTCAACTTTTTGATATAAGTGGAAGGGCTCCCCTCAGGCAGTTTGAAGGCCATACAAAGTAAGAAACAGTTGATTTTTATGTTTTCTAGTTTTATTTTATTTTGTCATAAGCTCTGTTTTTTTTTCTCTTTGATGAAAAACATAGAGAGCAGTTTTATGAAGATTATTTGCCTGTATGTACTATATTTCCTGATTGTTTTACGAGCACTTAACTTGGGTTCTGTGTTCCAGTTTCATAGGGCTCATGAATTCCCTAGAGTTGTATGTGACATTTTAGGAAATATATGTTTATCTAGGGAGCTGTTCTGCAGCTTTTGGTTAACTTTAGCAAGGTCTGTGGCACAGCTGAGGTTATGAATTACTCATCTAAAGACAACCTTACAGCTAGTAATGAGAGCTCCATAGGCCTGTACTGTCTTAGAGCATCTTACGTTGAAGTCCAGTTGGAAGGTAGATTTTCTTTTCTTCTTGGATTTGTACTGTTTTGCCCCCTGATAAATTAAGTGGCCATCACAATTTTATATTATAACTTTGTTTTCAGGTTTACCAGTGTCATTGCTGAAATTTGTTAAAATATAACAGAAATTTATGTAACATTCTATTTAGCGGCAAATCTTTTTTGAGTTTTTTAAAGAACTTTTTGAAATGTTAAAAGTTAAAGGGACTTTGCTCTTGTATTTAGCAGCTAAGTGGAATTGTTAACATCTTAGAATATATAATTTTAAGGCTATTCTTTAATATTCTTTTTAACTTCATAATGTAGGGGTATTTACATTTCTTAATTGACCTGGGGGCAAACACTTTAACGTTTTCTCTTTCTCTCATGATTTCCCTTTGTGAAGACTTCCTGAAACTGACCTGCTTTTTTCTTAATCTGAGAAATAGGAGCATTTTATGTTAGAAGGTACCAGAAAAATAATTTTCTTATTTTTTAATATACTGATCTTCGATCTTTCAGAGCAGTTCATACAGTAGATTTTACAGCTGACAAATATCACGTGGTCTCTGGGGCTGATGATTATACAGTTAAATTATGGGATATTCCGAACTCCAAAGAAATTCTGACATTTAAAGAACATTCTGATTATGTGAGATGTGGATGTGCTAGCAAACTTAATCCAGATCTCTTTATAACAGGTTGGTGAACTCTATTCCCTTGTGAAGCAAATAATCTCATGGGGATGTATTTTAATCTTGCTATGGGGCTTTTTTGGGATGGAGGGGTTTAAAATTTCTTTTATAAAGGAATATGTTTCTGATGAATTCTCCAGTTTTTAAATAAATTTTTACATAGTATGTTTGTATTTATTTTGAGACAGGTTCTCACTCTGTTGCCCAAGCTGGAGTGCAGTGATGTGATCACTGCTCACTGCATCTGCTACCTCCTGGGCTCAAGTCATCATCTCACCTGAGCCTCCCAAGTAGGTGGGACTATAGGTGCCCACCATATCCATCTACTTTTTGTGTTTTTTGTAGAGACAGGGTTTTGCCACGTTGCCCAAGCTGGTCTCAAACTCCTGGGCTCAAGTGATCTGTCTGCCTCAGTTTCCTCCCAAAGGGCTGGGATTACAAGTGTGAGCCACCGTGCCTGGCTTCCAATTGCTTTTTATTTTCTTATTCTTCTTTTGGTGATTGTTCATGTCTTCCTAATGTGTTTGGAAAAATCAGGGTGTCTTGAAAACATATAGACTCTCAGAACTGTAATGGGGAGTACACTGCTTCAAGCAGTCGAGAAACAGTGCAGTTTAGCCTCTGTGGTTGCCTTTACAGAAGTTTCCAGATGATTCGGTAGTGACAGTAGTCCAAAGAAAGGAATATTTTAGGATCAGAGCAAGTTAGATTGTATAGTATTGTGTAGTGCTTCTTCAGATACAATCAGCAGTAGAGGGTTTGGAGGTCCTGTGTCTTCATGAATATACATATATGTCTTTTTAAAACTCCATCTAAGATTTTTTTTTCCTTTTAAAACTTATATCTGGATACATATGGTTTTTGTTGTTTTAAACAGCGAAACTAACAATATAAAAATTGACATTTTAGGATCATATGATCATACTGTGAAGATGTTTGATGCACGAACGAATGAGAGTGTTCTCTCTGTTGAGCATGGGCAGCCAGTGGAGAGTGTCCTGCTTTTCCCCTCTGGAGGTCTTCTGGTGTCAGCAGGTACTTCTTAAAAATAGCTTTCATCAGTATTGTTGGTTTTGAATCATATTTGTTTAAAATCAGTTGCTTTTTATAATTTGTCAGTGTGCATTTGATTTGCATAGCTGTTTTTGCTCAAACAGTTAATCGATAGGATAGGCAAGCAGTTATCATTTATTGTGTACCTAATGTGAGCCAGGCACTGTGCCTAGAGTTAATATACATATCAACTCTAGTGCACTAGACGGTGCTACAAGGTAGTTAGCTTTTCCCCTGTTTTATATGACTAACAAAATAAAAGTTTTAACTAATTTTTCAACGGCAAAGTGGTAAGTGGCAGATCTGAAATCACAGAACTTGAGACCCTACATTATGTATGTAGCCCTGTGCCATCTTATTTAACCTCAGAAATCTAGCTTATACTCCTTTTACTCCTACCTGAGAGATCTGCAGCAGCTTTTGAAAATCAGTTATTTGAGATCTAGAAGTCTTGTCTCTTTTTCCTGTGACTCTCTGGATTGAAATGTCCTTACCCAGCAAACAGCAGCTAGTACTAGAGAAAGGAGATAATGTGGCCTCAAAAGGGGCCTTAGTACATTTTTTCACAAGTTGGGACTGAGGTGTTTTGCACATACTACATTTTCATAAATACAATGGAAGAAGTACATTGGCTTTATTCATTTGTAAATAAAGTAAAAATATGTTGACTTTAGAAGAATGTATAGGTAGAATGTGCAGCTGACAACATATATTGCTGTGTGTGCATCCTTTTTTTCTCTTAATTCTAAAATCTGCCTAGAAATTAATCTGTTTTATATTCTTTTCCCCAGTACCTATCTGATTTAAAAATAAGTTGATGCTGGGTGTGGTGGCTCACACCTGTAATCTTAGCACTTTGGGAGGCTGAGACAGACGGAAAGCTTGAGCCCAGGAATTTGAGACCAGCCTGGGCAACATAGCGAGACTCCATCTCTAATTTAAAAAAAAAATTGATAAATGTCAGATATGTCTACTTTTATTGCTGTTATTCTGACAAATGGAAAAAATATCAAGTTGAATAGGGAGAATAGAAAGCTTTATGCTAATCTCCACTGTGTCAATAGCTAATTGTGACCTCGGGCAATTTCTTAAGGTTTCTAGACCTTGAAAATGAGAGGGTTGGACTAGAGCAGTGGTTTCAGCTGTGATTCCTCTTGTGAGGTGCCACATACTAGTGGAGGGGTGAGGACTGTGAGTTGGGTTCCAAATCCTGTTCCCCAGTAAAGATTTCAGTATCCTCTCCCTCCCCTTTTTCTGTTTTCTGTATTAGACTTTTGCTTGATGTTTTGCTGCAGATCTACATTATTCACTTCCACTGCTATATAGAATTTCTTTAAAAAAATATTTTATTATAATTTTCTTAAAATGAACTCTTTTATTTATGCATTTATTTTGCTGGAATTTCTGTATGCTTCACAAATATTACATTATTTAACTGTCATAACAGTTCTGTGGGGTAGGAACTATTATTACCAATTACTCAGGAAGTGGTGGAGCCTGGACTCTGTACTCCCTCACTCAGCTTCCATGCTTTGTGGAGTGTCCAGTGAAGAATGCTTTTCAGATCTTTTAAATTTTGAATCTGTGGGCAGAATATCCAACTAACGATTACTTCTTTTTGTAGGAGGTCGTTATGTTAAGGTCTGGGACATGTTAAAAGGAGGACAATTGCTGGTATCTCTGAAAAATCATCACAAAACTGTGACATGTTTATGTCTAAGCAGCTCTGGACAGAGGTTGCTCTCTGGCTCACTGGATAGGTTGGCATTTAAACTTTTTTGTATATTAGTGTACAGGTGTTTACTGCTTGAGGAAATGAGTTATTTCAGCAATATTTGTCATAAGTATTGTGATAATGATTTCCAGGAGAAGAAAACCTGTTGAGTTGAAAATAGTTTTGACCTCTAATTTACATATAGCTACTTATTTTCTCCTTTAATATAATTTGTTTTAACTTATATACCTAAACAACATTATTGAACCATTTGAATGATAAGCTTTCAAATAATCTTATTCTAGAAACCATCTTATAAAACCATTATTGTACGTTTATATATTTTGAGGTTTTCTTTCTTTTCTTTTTTTTTTTTTTGAGACAGAGTCTTGTTCTGTTGCCAAGGCTGGTATGCAGTGGTACAATCTGGGCTGACTGCAACCTTCACCTCCCAGGTTCAAGTGATTCTCGTGACTCAGCCTCCCGAGTAGCTGGGATTACAGGTGTACAGCATGCCTGGCTAATTTTTGTATTTTTAGTAGAGACGGGGTTTTGCCATATTGCCCAGACTGTTCTCAAATTTCTGGCCTCGTGATCTGCCCACCTCACCCTTCTAAAGTGCTGGGATTACAGGCATGAGCCACTGTGCCTGGCCTAAAAAGTTGTTTAAAAATTAGATAAATTAATTTTTTTTTTGAGACAGAGTCTTTCTCTGTTGCCCAGACTGGAATGCAGTGGTGAGTTTTTAGCTCATTGCAACCTTTGCCTCCTGGGTTCAAGGGATTTTCCTGCCTCAGCTTCCCGAGTGGCTGGGATTACAGGCATGTACCACCATGCCTGGCTGATTTTTCTATTTTTAGCAGAGATGGGATTTCGCCATGTTGGTCACGCTGGTCTCGAACTCTTGACCTCAGGTGATCCACCCACCTTGGCCTCCTAAAGTGCTGGGATTACAGGTGTAAGCCACCGCACCCAGCCTAAAATTTAGATAGCACATTTAATTTAGCCTAGTATCTAGTGTAAAAATAAAATATATATTATATATAAAATATAATTTCAACATGTAATGTATGTCAAAATTATTAAGATACTAGAAATAAATTAAGCATCTAAGCATGTGCAGTATGATACAATAATCATATTTTAGGTTGGGTACAGTGGCTGACACCTGTAATCCCAGTGCTTTGGGAGGCTCAGGTGGGAGGATCACTTGAGGCCAGAATTTGAGACCAGCCTGGATAATATAGTGAGACCCCAGCACTACAGAAAATTTAAAAAATTAGCTAGGCACCATGGTACACACCTTTAATCATAGCTGCTAGGGAGGCTGAGACAGGAGAGGCACTTGAGCGCAGGAGTTTGAGGTTGCAGTGAGCTGTGATAGTACCACCGTACTCTAGCCTGGGTGACAGAGTGATACCTTGTCTCTTAAAAAAAAAAAAGATAATATTTTATAAAAATTACTGTCTCAGTTTTTAAATTAAATTAAAAATAAATAATTTAGTTTCTCATTTTCACTAGCCAATTTCAAGTGGTCAGTAGCCACATGCAGCTAGAAGTATGGCACAGTTCTAGAATTTACATGATCTATTATTATTATTATTTTGAAACAGGGTTTTCGCCCTGTTGCCCAGGCTGGAGGACAGTGGCATGATCTTGGCTGACTGCAACCTCTGCCTCCTGGCTTCAAGCGATCCTCTCACCTCAGCCTCCTGAGTATCTGGGACCACGGACACATGCCACCACACCTGGCTCATTTTTGTATTTTTGTAGGTACAGGGTTTCGTCATGTTGCCCAGGCTGGTCTCAAACTCCTGAGCTTAAGAGATCCACCTGCCTCAGCCTTCCAAAGTGCTAGGATTATAGGTGTGAGCTACTGTGCCTGGCTTACATTATCTATTTTTGATTATTTTATTTTCGTATTTTCATTTTTTTCTGCTATTACGAAAAACTTTGGTTTTTAGCATATTTGTTAAAAAGTATACAGTCATCCTGTGGTGACTGAGGCAAATTGATTGTGAACGCCCAAGTACTTTATTTAAAATGGCATAATATTTGCATATAACCTACGCATATCCACTGTATACTTTAAATCATCTCTAGCTTATATGTAATACCTAATACAATGCAAGTGCTATGTAAATAGTTGTTACACTGTATTTTAAAATTCTGTATTATTTTTATTTATGTATTTATTTACGGATATTTTCAATCCATGGTTGATTGAATCTGCAGATGTGGAATATGTCATAAGGAGGATTGACTGTACGTATTTTAAAAGCTAGAAAATATTTTTAATACAAAGGAGTTTTTTGTGTAAATAAATATTACATGGCTGGTTCTCTGAAATCATATTACTGGCAATTTGGGACTTGATTCTTAGGTATGTTCCTAAAAGCTAAGTGTAAATTGGCTCTATTTGTGGTGGTTTCAACCAGGAGTGATTTTCGTTCCTCAAGGAATGTTTGACAATATCTTGAGAAATTTTTGTTATTCATCACAACTTAAGGTCGTGGTGCTTGCCATATAGGGGATAGAGGCCAGGAAGGCTGCGAAACATCCTACAATGCACAGAATAGCTCCTACAAAAAAGAATTCTGTGCCCTAAAATGATAGTCATTCTGAGAAACCCTGATATTTGGCTTCACGTGTACTTTCTTTCTTTCTTTTCTTTTCTTTTTCTTTTTTTTTTTGAGAGGTAGTCTCACTCTGTTGCCCAGGCTGGAGTGCAGTAGTGCAATCTTGGCTCACTGCAACCTCCATCTCCTGGGTTCAAGCAATTCTCTGTCTCAGCCTCCTGAGTTGCTGGTGCAGGTGCCTGCCACCATGCCCAGCTGATTTTTTTGTATTTTTAGTAGAGATGGGGTTTCACCATCTTGGCCAGGCTGGTCTTGAACTCCTGACCTCATGATCCACCTGCCTCAGCCTCCCAAAGTGCTGGGATTACAGGTATGAGTCACCATGGCTGGCCCTTTCTTTTTTTAAAAAAAATTATTTTTTATTTTTGTAGAGATGGGGTTTCATCATGTTGCCCAGGATGGTCTTGAATTCTTGGGCTCAAGTGATCTGCCTACTGTGGCCTCCCAGAGTGCTGAGATTACAGGTGTGAGCCATTACACTTGACTTTGTGATATACTTTCATTGATACTTTCTCCTTTTTCTTTTTTCTTTTTTTTTTTTTTGTGACAGCATTTTGCCCTTGTTGCCCAGGATGGAGTGCAATGGCTTGATCTCGGCTCACCACAACCTCCACCTCCTGGGTTTAAGCGATTTTCCTGCATAGCTGGGATTACAGGCATGTGCCACCACACCGGGCTAATTTTGTATTTTTAGTAGAGATGGGGTTTCTCCGTGTTGGTCAGGCTGGTCTTAAACTCCTGACCTCAGGTGATCTGCCCGCCTTGGCCTCCCAAAGTGCTCGGATTATAGGTGTAAGCCACCGCACCCAGCTGATACTTTTTCTTTACTTCTAAGTTTGATCTTCAGATGACAATGGCTGATGGTCTATCCTTCTTTTTTTTTTTTTTTCCTTTTTTAAAAAATTTTTGAGACAGTGTTGCTCTGTTGCCCAGGCTGGAGGGCAGTGGCAGGATTTCAGCTCACTGCAACCAGGTTCAAGCAATTCTCATGCCTCAGCCTCCTCAGTAGCTGGGATTACAGGCATGTGCCACCATACCTGGCTGGTTTTTGTTATTTTTGGTAGAGATGAGGGTTACGTCATGGTAGCCAGGCTGGTCTCAAACTCCTGGCCTCAAGTGATCTGCCCACCTTGGCCTCCCAAAGTGCTGGGATTACAGGCCTGAACCACTATACCTGGCACTTCTATTTCTAAGTGGCTAGTGAAAGTCTTTATACAGATGTTATAGTTAGGGCTGGTATACAGCTCATTTTTTAAGGGGTTCAGTGATAAATTACTTTGCAATTAACATTACTGATCTTCATTTTTCTTTACTGTTGTATAGATTTTAATGTTCATATTTTGAATTTTCAAAAAATAGAAATTTGCATTTTATATTCATTTTCAAGGTGATTTTTGACAAAGCTTTTCTTTTTTATTAGGAAGGTAAAAGTATACAGCACAGCTTCCTACAAAGTAGTCCACAGTTTTGATTATGCAGCTTCAATTTTGAGTCTTGCCCTTGCAGTAAGTGCCTTTACCTATTTTTAAGTCTCTCACTAACTTTGCCTGTTAAATGAAACTAAAATGGAATTTTGGGCTTTATTTTTGGATTTGAGTAACTCTTCTTGCCATGTTAGATATTTGAGTTAAGACAATTGCTGGAATATATGACTTGTCCTAATGACTGAGCATGAATTTAGATATAGGTCTCACTCACTGGGTAACTTCAAACCAAGGACAGTGCTTTAGGCATTGTTAACGTCAGATGCAGGACCTGGGAAGCTAATAAATCTCTCTTCAACTAATTTAACTCAAGAGTATTATAGTACACTAGAAAGGCAGATTCGCTCTCTGATCAGAAAAAAAGATGGTGGGAAAAGGGGACAACAAAATGAAATATCTCTTTTTCTGTATTACTGCTGTTTCTGGAATGTATGCTGTCAAGTTTTATGAGAAGCCACATTTGGGCAGGAAGGTATTTGACTGTTATATAGAAATCTGATTTGAGAGAGGAAAACCTTATTAAAAAATATTTTTAGGGGGCAAGATTGTAAAAGTTATGCTACTGTGTAATCCTTGATGTTAACTATGTACAATTCTTCTTATTTTTTTGAGATGGGGTCTTGCTCTCTCACCCAGGCTGGAGTGCAGTGGCATGATCTTGGCTCACTGCAACCTCCACCTCCTGGGTTCAAGTGATTCTCCTGCATCAGCCTCCTGGGTAGTCGGAGTTACAGACGTGTGCCACCATGCCCAGTTAATTTTTGTATTTTTAGTAAAGATGGAGTTTCACCATGTTGGTCAGGCTGGTCTCAAACTCCTGACCTCATGATCCGTTCACCTCAGCCTCCCAAAGTGCTGGGATTACAGACATGAGCCACTGTGCCTGACCAACTATGTATTATTACACAAACTTTGCCAGTGATATATTATACGTACAAGTTCTGTCAATATAGTTGTATCCTAAGGAAAAAATGATTTTGCTTTAACGTCTTGCACCAATCATTGTTAGGCAGACTGCGTATCTGAATGGAACTTGGTGAATATATGGACAGCAGCAAACACAACATAAATGTGTTTTGAAGTAAAAGTACTATAAATTATGAGTTAAGAATAGACTAACTTATTTTTCTAATTGCTATTAGCATGAAGATGAGACAATAGTTGTAGGAATGACCAATGGCATACTGAGTGTTAAACATCGGAAATCTGAAGCAAAGAAGGAATCGCTTCCCAGAAGAAGGCGGCCTGCATATCGAACGTTTATTAAAGGAAAAAATTACATGAAGCAACGGGTATTTGTGCATTTCTCATATTTGTTTAAAACATGAAATTTGTTAGAGTAGCATCCCTGCACATTACTGGAAAGCATAGTTTCTGTGGCATTTAACTTTATTTTGGTTTTCTCTACATCAGAATTACTTCTAAATTGCTAGATTGGGGACATTATTGAAGAGTAATGGGAAACAAGGACTACTTTATGTAATACTCTGCATCATAGCATAATGTTATAATGCTTTACTGGATTCAAAATAACGTCTTTCACATACTACCTGATTTGATCTAAACCCCAAGAAGTAGTAGAGCCAGTCATGTCCCCATTTGTCACCTGAGAAGATTGAGATACAAAGAATTTCTGATTCATTCAGGATTTCATTACTGGTATCCAGAGTTGTTGAGGCTAGATCTCATTATCTCTGATTCTTGTTTTATTTCTCTTTCTACTGAATCCCACTGCCTGCCACATAAAGAGAATTGTAATGAGTAATTTACACCTAGAATTAAGGCAACAGTACATATTGTAAGTTAAAATTGTAAGAGAGTAAGAACATGTTGATGTAACAAATTACTCCACTTTTTTTTTCTTTCTTGACTGATTAGCAGGATTCATTTTTATTTAATCTACATTATGAGCATATGAACATTATTTGTGACATAGTTCAGAGATGCCACTTCATTATGAAAAAGTTTATATTAAATATATCTTTATACAGAAACTGATTTTTCTTCCCTATAAATGTATTTTTCATTGCAGGATGACATTTTGATTAACAGGCCAACAAAGAAACACCTAGAATTGTATGACAGGGATCTGAAACATTTTCGAATCTCTAAGGCACTTGACAGAGTTCTTGAGGTGAGTGAGCGTTTTTTGTTTTTGTTTTTGTTTCTTTTTGGACAGAGTCTTGCTCTGTCTCCAGGCTAGAGTGTAGTGGTGTGATCTCGGCTCACTGTGACCTCCACCTCCTGGGTTTGAGTGATTCTATGCCTCAGCCTTCCGAGTAGCTGGGAGTACAGGCATGTGCCACCACACCAAGCTAATTTTTATGTTTTGAATAGAAACAAAGTTTCACCACGTTGGCCAGGATGGCCTCGATTTCCTGACCTTGTGATCTGCCTGCCTCAGCCTCCCAAAGTACTGAGGTTAGAGGTGTGAGCCACCATGCCCGGCCGAGTGAGCATTTTAAAAAATATTATGTTATTACTTACCCTGCGTATTACCATGACTTGGAACTGTGAAGATAAACATCTATTCAAACTTGATAATTTAGTGCAAGAAAATGATATTTTTTTGTGCTGTTTTGTCTGCTCATGTTGACTGAAAATTTTTCTAGCCTACTTGTGCAATAAAGACACCCGAGATTACAGTGTCCATCATAAAGGAGTTAAATCGAAGAGGAGTCCTCGCAAATGCCCTTGCAGGTCGAGATGAAAAGGAAATCAGTCGTGTTCTTAATTTTTTGATAAGGTATGTTTTATGTCTGTGAAACACTTTTATTTTGCATCTGAAATCCTTTATCACCAAATGAAAGACATATTTAGTTTGATCCTTGTAGAGAACTGAAGAAACAAATCTGTTTTAAGGATTTTTTGTTTAAGTTTACAAGTTTTACTAAATTGAATTTTTACTTTGTAGGAATCTTTCTCAGCCAAGATTTGCCCCTGTTTTAATCAATGCTGCTGAAATAATTATTGGTAAGTAGTTGTTAAAACTTGAAAATCCTAACATGCTTGCAAAAGTAGAGATGTCAAAGAATCAGATTTGGAAATCAGGTAGATCAAAATATCTTGCTTTTATTAATTCTCAATATGGATTTTCATGGAGAAAACAACAAGTCAAAGCAGTTTAAAATGTAAGATGTTTACAGTGGCATGACTTGGAATTGATGGGACTGGGGTTATTACAAAAAAAAATTTTGTTTTCATAGACATCTGTAATCACCATGACAATTTTTCAAATGGGAAAATGAAAATAAGTCAGAACTTCCACCCTATATTTTCTGTAATTATTGTTTTTTGAAATAAATTTACTCAGAGGGATCGTTATACTTTCTATAAATCATTAATTATAACATAAGTACAGATTTTTCAGTGTTTTTATGGTATTTTTATACTTTTAAGAACTTTGTTTTTCACTTAATGAATAGAAAGATATTGCTAGTTAATGTGTTTTCTTTCTCTCTTTTTAGATATATATCTGCCTGTGATTGGTCAGTCCCCTGTAGTTGATAAAAAGTTTTTGCTACTTCAAGGACTTGTAGAAAAAGAGATTGATTACCAAAGAGAATTGTTAGAAACCTTGGGGATGATGGATATGCTTTTTGCCACCATGAGAGGGAAGGAAGGCACTTCTGTGTTGGAACATACATCTGATGGATTTCCAGAGAATAAGAAGATAGAATCATAGTGTCTGCTAAATAAGGCATTTAAGAACTCTGAAGTTGGAATAGATTTGCCTCTATTAAATGTTGGAAAGAGACTCTCTTTGATACTTATAAAAACTATTTACAGAAGCAGTTCTGTAGAAGAGACTGGAACAATTGTGGTCGGAAAACAAGTACCTGTTTTAAGTAAGACATGGTTTTCCATGTGCTGTTTTGAATTATTTTATAGCATCTTCACCTAGAAGATCTCAATTGTCTTGGACACAGAGTAGGTTTATGTGGGTTGAGTTGATAATAATTTTAGTACAGGAGTATTCTGTATCAACATTTGGATTGGTATTCAGATGGGAATTCAAATATGAATCCTCTCTGGAGAGGATCCAACTGGGAATCCTGCTAAAGGAACACAGCCTTGTATTACTTCTGGAAAACAACAACAAAAACAGACGGCAACAACAAAAAGCCTCTTTCTTGACGCTAATCAGTGCCTTTGGGATTTCTAGGCCCTTGTGTAGCTTGCTTCCTCTCTCCTTGATGTCGACACTTGTCTTAGATCACATGCCCTGCTTCAGCCGGTAATGGGAGTGCAGCTGTTCCAAGTGTGGCAAGTTAAGTGGTCAGCTCTGAAGGACTGATACTAGCCAGATTTGTATTCAGTGTGAGAGCAAGGTCTAGAGATAGACCTGATTGGTCTATCTACCTCTTGGTTTTTCTTTCTTCTCTTCATGCAGCCTTTCTAACAAGTTTTCACCTTGTTTCAGGTCAGAGGAATGATAGAATTTGTCATTTTTCTTATAATAAAGAGCCTTTCAAACTAGTTTTCATATGTTTTGAGCTTATCTTATAGCTACCTAATCCTCTGAAAAGTATTTTCTCTGATTTGTATTTAGATTTTCCCCCCATTCTTCACAATCATATTGTGTTGTAGAACCCCAATCCAGAGCAGTTTGCTTTGAAATATAGTTGTTTTTGAAAGTTTAAATATTATTTTTTAGAATTTTTGTTTTTGAAAGAGTCTCGCTCTATTGCCGGAATGCAGTAGAGAAGTGCTGTGGCGCAGTCTCGGCTCACGGCAACCTCTGCCTCCCAGGTTCAAGCGGTTCTCCTGCCTCAGCCTTCTGAGTAGCTGGGATTACAGGTGTGTGCCACCATGCCTGGCTAGTTTTTGTACTTTTAGTAGAGACAGGGTTTCACCATACTGGCCAAGCTGGTCTCGAACTCCTGACCTCAAGTGATCCACCTGCCTAGTCCTCCCAAAGTGCAGGGATTACAGGCATGAACCACGGTGCCCAGCCTGTAAATATTATTATTATTTTATAAAGACATTCTTATTTTCTTGGCTTTTTGATGTATCCATTCTGGATGGATAATTGTTGGCTAGTAACTTCTAGTACACTGATTTCATAGTTGCTACCTCTCCTAACTTTCTCTAATTCTTGTCCCAACTCAAGTAGTTAAAAATCAGTAAGAAAAATGTCTTGAGCTAGAAGAACCTGTAGAGGAAGATTTTGTAATGTGAATCTGCTTTCATAATTTTAGTTTGGTAAATTCAGGGTTTTTTTAAGCAGAAAAAATACTTAATATGTTCTAGTAAGGTTATTAAGTAAAAATTAAACATTAATATTTAGGCTAACATTAACATTTAAATTAATATACTAAGTGAATATACTTAGTATGTTCTACTACGGGTATACTCAGAAATAGGGCCAGTTTCCCTTTCATGAACCGATTTCAGCAATCATACAGCACAGTGGCCTGTAAGGAACCAGCAGTGTGTTTCTCTGCATAATTATGAATTTAGTCAAGATCAGAAGCTGTGTTTTGGGGTTAATAAGGGTTAATTTATTTAAATAAAGTTTCTATTTAAAAACCTTTTTAAAACATTAACGCCATAAATATTCTGATAATTTGCATAGTAGTAAAAATTAGGAGTTGAAATTCTACCTAAAGCTGTATTTGCCATCAATTTTGTAACATGGCAGAGGCTTTCTCACACGTCATTTCATTTGATTCTCACCATCCGAGATTGATATTATTTTCATTTAACATTGAGTTAACTAAAGTAGTCGATTCACTCTCCAAGTCCCTGAGTGTGAGCTCTTCATCCTAGCACTGTGAAATAGTTTGCCTGCTGCGGCCTAAACTACTCATTCCCTTGAACAAAACTTCAGAGTGCTGCAGTTCTCAAAATATGTCACAGATACACATTTTCAAAAAGGTTAGGAAGCAGTACCCATAGCCATCAATACTTAAATTCAGGAGTACTTTTTGTTGTGTTTTGTTTTGTTTTTAGAGACAAGGTCTCATTCTGTTGCCCAGGCTGGAGTGTAGTGGTGCGATCATAGCTCACTGCAGCTTAGGCCTCCTAGGCTGAAGCTATCCTCCCACCTCAGCCTCCTGAGAAGCTGAGACTACAGGCATGAGCTACCATGCCTGGCTAATTTTTTATTTTGATTTTTTGAGAGAAGAGGTCTCACTACGTTGCCCAGGCCTCAGGCAATCTCCTGACCTCAAGTGAGCTTCCCACTTCAGCCTCCCAAATGACTGGGATGAAAGGCATCAGCAGGAACGGTTATTATATTCATTGAGACAAACTGTAGTATTTGCTCTTTGAAGTACTTAATTGGCATATTACAGTATGTGACACTGGCCTTGAGATTCTAATTTAAAATGCTTAACAAGAGTTTTAGACTTGTGAGTTTTAGTTGAAAGGTATTTTAAAATGTTACTAAGTCTACAAAAGTACTGAAATGTTTCAGAGAACTTGGAAAGTCACCGTATGTTTCATATATTATATTTATGAGAGTTAAGAACTTGGGAAGGTTTTGCTTATGGGGTCAAGCATTTGCAGTGCTGCTTATAAGATATAAAAATACTATTAAGTTGTTTAAAGGAATTTGGATTGTAAATGGGACTGTTAAAACAAATTTAGTATGTTCAACTTAAATGGATTCTATCTAATAAAATACCCTGATGGCACCTCTACACTTTAAGAGGGTATTTCATTTTCTATGAACAAAATACCCTCTTAGACACTAAAAAGCCACATCCCTGTTCCCTCGGCTATAGTTAACTAGACATGGTGGTACAACTGACTCAATCCTTCTCTAAGCAGGGATTTGTAATTGGGATTTATAGTGAAATTTTTGATGTGGGAAAATGGGAGGCTGGGAATGCTAGGTCTGGGTCAACAGCGGAGAAAGTTGGTTTGTAGAGAGGAAGAAGAATGAAACCTAAGTACAAAGAAAATAAAGATTATCCTGCTTTAATAGATCAGACTAGAGAGAGAAACCACCTTAGTTCCTGATGACTTCTATTGCCCTATTCTGGTTGTACCTCTTTTCCCTGGGGTCTGTGATATTCTTTGGATTCTCTCTAACACTTGTTTGCCGACTGTGAGTGGGTTTCTCTTATTTACAACCAAATGACTCTGAAAACACTAATCCACTGGTCCTGATATTTATTGAGACCCATTAGAAGTCAGGGAATCAAGGTTACAGCAACGAACAAAATAGACAAAAATATCTCCCTTAATATGCTGACTGAGGGAGATAGTAAACAAGTATGTGCATAGTGGGGTCGGTGGTGGTAAATGTGATGGGGAAAAATCAGGCAGGGGAGGGAGATGGCAAATGTCAGGGGTGATAGGTGGGGTGCAGTTTTAAATAGAGTAGTTAGGAGAGGCCTCACTGCATTGACAATTGAGCAAAGTTCTGTAGGAAGTGAAGGATCCTCATTGCCATCTAGGGGCAGCATACAGAAGAAGCATGACTGGGAAGTTAGGAATGGCAAGGTGGCCCATTTAGCTGGTGTGGAACAAGGGAGGGGAGAGTAGTAAGATAAAGAATGGGGTAGAAACTGGAGATGGTGCATTTTGACAGTTCTGTAGGGAGTTTTGCCATAAAAGGGAATAGCAAGATTGGGCAATGGCTGGAGGAATGTGGGGTCAAGAGTTTTTTTTTTAATTAGGTGTAATTGATATGCTATAAACTATGCATATTTAAAGTGTTCATTTGATATGTTTTGACATTTATACATTCTTGAAACCACAATTAAGTGAATGAACATGTTTAATACCCTCAAAAGTTTCCTCCCACCCTTGGTAGTCCATCCCGTGGCCCCTTCCTCTCAGGCAACTATGGATCTACTTTCTGTCACTATAATGTTTATTTTCTAGATCTTTATAAAATTTGTCTCCATTTATAAAATGGAATCAGAATTTAGGACTGGGGGGTCTGGCATCTTTCACTTAGCATAATTGTTTTGAAATTTATAATTCACTTGAGATTTAAGTTGGGAACAATGACAGAATGAATGTTTGTCAATGGGGATAATCCTGTAGAGAAGGAAAAACATGATACAGGTTCCAGGGGAGGTGGAGCATTGGCTGGGAGGTGGTGACGGGGTCAAGTGCCCAAGTGGAAGGGTTGGCTTAGATAGGAGAAGATAGGAGAATAATAATTTGGGCATGGTTCAGGAGGGAAGGCATATATGGGCACAGGGGCAATTAGGTAGGTAGATGTGATAGTGAGGGTTTGTGGAGGTTCACTTGGTATCTCTTCATTGGAAAAAATCCTAGAAGGTAACTAACTGAGATTGAGGTTAGAGGAAGAGCAGGTGGAGGTGTTGGAAGTTTGACGGGAGAACAAGATATGAATTATTCCTAGAAAGGTCAAGAACCCAAACTTTGGAGCCATCTGCATGGATTTGATTCTTGGCTTGACCACTCATTGGCTGCGTGATTTGGGGGAAGTTATTTTGCCATTTTGTATCGCATTTTCTTCATCTGTTAATCAGACAAACAGAATCATACATGATAGTTGTGAGAATTGGGCTAATCCCCATCAACATGCCTAGAATATTTCTTCTAAAATTTTTTTTTAAAAGAACTGTATTGAGAAGGGATAGCAGAACAAGGAATTCTGTCTGTACTTGACTGAACAATCAGTTGAAATGACACTACCTCAGACCCACCCCAAAATGTTTCTGTTATTAGCTAGCATGATGGGGGAATGAATGGACTAGAAAATGAAGTAGTATTCCCAGCAGCACCAGAGGCCCACAAGTCTAAGGAACTGAATTAGTGATCTAGATTTACACTGAGACCCGTCAGCATGTTGGCATGTTTTTCCCTTACATTCACCTATGAGGAGGCAGATGTGGAACAGGCTGAGATACGGATTTGACCAGCAATGGGGTTTTTGTAAGAGATTGCAACTTAACTGGGAAGGGACAAAGTTGGTATTAAGATTTATGCAAAGGCATGATTGTAATGACAGACCCTGGAAGCTAAGGTAGGTGAATATGGAAAGGAGGCCACAAGGGATTGAGGACAGTGAGAACACATGGGTCAATGGATTGTTGGTCTGTGTGTGGTTGAAGAGTTGCGGTTTGCCTACTAGAGATAGCAAGCTAGAGGCATGAAAGATGTTGTTGAGAGAACTAAGCATTATGACAGCAGCAGTATTTGAGAGAGTGACAGCAAACCAGGAGCTAAAATGTTCCAAAAAATGATAGGGAGTGATCTGATGATGTGTGGTGACCAACAAAGTGAGGTTAGGGATATAGTCAGATGACATGAGGTTCAGTGGCGAGGCTGTCTTGGGAAGGAAGACGAGGAAATGGTCTGGAAACAGCACTGAGGATTAACTACACAACCATTAGGAGTTGTACAGGAGCTATGAGAGCAACATCAGCAGCACTTGGAAGGGCTACAGAAGAAACAGTGTCCTCAGCAGAGAGCCAAGGCTCAGATCAAAGGCTTGGAGAGAATAGCCACATAAGAGGTTGAGAGTTTGAGGGATGTTGCTGACGACTGAGACCCAGGATGCAGAGGCAAAGGGTTTTAAGGAGCTGGAGAAGGATAGAAATGGAACCCAAAGAGAGAATGTATAGAGTCTAGAAGATAAGGCATGATCTAGGACTCCTGGCTTCTTGTGGCAATATAACTGGCATAAAGAGGGTTAGAGGGCATCATGATAGCCCTGATCATCTTCAGGTAGATGCTTGGTGTGAGGGAGGGAGAGAAGTGAGCTTCCCCCAGGAGCTTGTGGAATTCTGGGCACCATTCTTCACACCTACTGCACGGGTGTAGTGGAGGGTGGGAGGGGGCAGTCATTTCTACAGAAACAGGAAAACAGGTTAAGTTCACTCCAGGTACACCAGTTTGTAAGTGAAAAAAAAAAAAAGCCAGGATTTGGATTCGCATAGTCCGTTTTTACAACCTGGACCATTAATCACTAGCTGAGATGGCCTCATCCTTATTCCATCCTCTCTCTTCTTCCCATATTCAAGAGTTTCCATCATAATCCTCACTTCCTAGACTTCTCATGTTGAACATAGCCACCACCATGCCCTGGAAGTTCTCACCACTCTTAACTAGAAATGCTTAACTCACATCCTCTCTAAATAGTACAGGCAGCTGCATATTGAGATTGAGATTCAAGAAGCTGCATATTGAAATTGAGGTTCAAGTCCTTTTGTTTCTCCATTCCCATTGCCATCTCTTTCTGGCCCCAATTCCTTCGGACTTCTGCAGCACCATGCCTTACAGCTCCTCCAGCTTAGTAGTCCTCCAGTCCATCCTCCATATCATGGCTTGAGTGGTCTTCAGAAACATTTAATCTCATCACTTCCTGGAGACAGTGCATCACAGTGTCAGGTGGCATTAAAAGGACAGCAACTGAATGGAAGTGATGCTGTGGGAGGTGATACAACCAAACCCTCCTTCCTTCCTTCACGTTAGTCCAGACAGCTTCCATGTAGAAGGCTCTTCAGCTTGGGATACTGATGATGTTTTCCTCGGCTGGTAATTTGTTTGTTTGTTTGTTTTTTTGAGATCTTGATTCTGATTCAGAGCCTGTCTCCACTAATTTTTTCTGTCAATGTTTGTTCCTCAACTGTTTTTGCTTCTGTTTCTACAGTTCAAACATCCAGCCTATCTCCACTCTGACCTGAGAACACAGGCAGTGACTCCCGCTGGGTCACTTAGCTTGGCATAGGGTTAAAGTCTTGAGCTATCCCTCCTAATGGTTTTCTGTTTTTGCTTGTTTGTTGTTGTTATTTTTATTTACTTATTTATTTTTGAGACAGTCTTGCTCTGCTGCTCAGGCTGGAGTGCAATGGCACGATCTTGGTTCACTGCAACCTTCACCTCCTGGGTTCAAATGATTCTCCTGCCTCAGCCTTGAATAGCTGGGATTATAGGTTGGCACCACTATACCCGGCTAATTTTTTTTTTGTATTTGTAGTAGAGACGGGGTTTCACTATGTTGTTCAGGCTGGTCTCAAACTCCTGACCTTGTGATCTGTCCACCTCAGCCTCCCAAAGTGCTGGAATTACAGGTGTGAGCCACCCCATCCGGGCTGTTGTTATTTTGGAGACAGGATCTTGTTCTGTTGCCCAGGCTGGAGTGCAATGGTGCAATCATGGCTCATTGTGGTCTCAACCTCCCAGGCTGAAACGAATCTCAACCTCAGCCTTCTGAGTAGCTGGGACTATAGGCCCATGCCACCATGCCTAGCTAATTTTTTTTTGTAGAGGTGAGGTCTCATTTTATTGCCCATGCTGGTCTTGAACTCCTGGGCTCAACTGACCCTCCCACCTTGACCTCCCAAAATGCTAGGATTACAGATGTATGCCACCATACCTGGCCCTACTAAGGGTTTTCTAGAGATCTTAAAATTAATTAAAATTAAGAATTGAGTTCCTTAGTCACATTTGCCACATTTTGAGATGGCTGAAAATAGCCACATGTGGCTAGTGGCTACCATATTGAACAACACAGATATAGAACATTTCCATAATTGGAGAAGTTTCTACCAGGCAGTCTTGGACCCTTGGAGAAATGCAAACTCTGTCTGGAGACTGAGTCCACTTCCTTGATTTGGTCCGAAGAACTCATCTGGCAGCTACTTTATCTGCCAACGCAGCCACTGGCTTGGTCCTTCCTGGCTCTGGCCCACCTGTTCCTTAGTTCCCTGGCCCTGACTG